TCACAGAGGCATATTTACATATCCCCATCCTCCCGGATCATCGCCAATTTCTGCGGTTCTGTCATCTCAACCGCCACTTCCAATACAGGGCCCTACCATTTGGTCTCTCCTCTGCCCCTAGGGTCTTCACCAAGATCCTGGGGGTTCTGGCAGCACACTTAAGATTGGCCCCGGTACGTGTCCAGTGTTACCTGGACGACATCCTGATCCAATCAATCTCCATCCTGACCGCCCAGTTGGATCTGACCCTTATGATCAGAACTTTTCAGGACCATGGGTTCTTGATAAATTTTCAGAAAAGCCAGACGGTCCCTTCAACCTGCCTCTTACACCTGGGCGCGGTAATAGACACAGACTCTTGTCACGTGTTCTTGTTAGAAGACCATCAAAACAGCATCCGAGACCTGGTCCGCAGGGAGCAGGTAGTGACACTAGCTCTGCTTTCCCAGCTACTGGGGAAATTAATATCTTTCATAATGATAGTGCCTTGGGCCAGATTACATGCCTGGACCCTCCAATGGTTCCTGCTCCCATTCCAGAGACTGCACACCAGTTCTTCCAACCAACTGGTAAGGGTTCCCCGTCAGGTCCTTCGCTCCCTTGACTGGTGGACATCCTCAGCCATGCGCGAGGGGACTCTCTTCAGTGAGCCTCACCGAATTCTTCTGATCACGGATGCAAGTCTCTTTGGCTGGGGTGCGCACCTCCAATCTCAGATGGCTCAGGGTCAATGGTTGCGGTTGGACCTGAAGCACAACATCAATTGGTTGGAGCTCAGGGCGATCCATCTGGCTCTCCAACACATCTGCATCAAGATTGGGGGGCAACACATGCTGGTCCTCATGGACAATATAGCTGCAAAGGCTCACGTGAACCGGCACGGGGGCACTCGTTCCAGATCCCTCATGACGGAGGCTTGGGCGTTGGGCTCCTGGGCAGAAACCAACCTGCTTTCCATCAGGGCTGAGCACATTTCGGGAGAGGCGAACCGGCAGGCGGACTTCCTCAGCAGGTCAATAGTGGACCATTCGGAATGGCGGTTACACCCGGATCTCTTCATGGAGATCACAGACAGGTTTGGCCATCCGATTGTAGACCTGTTTGCCTCGCTGGAAAATGCCCTACTTCCCAGATTCTTTTCACGCTTCCCCTCTCAGGGGGCAGAGGGGACGGACACTCTATGCAGTCCATGGTCACAGGGACTATTGTATGCCTTTCCGCCTCTCCCTCTGCTTCCAACAGTTGTCAGGAAGATCCTAGAGGAACAGGCAGAGCTAATATTCATTGCACCTCACTGGCCGAGACGACCATGGTTCACAGACCTAGTGAGCCTTTCCACAACTTCTCCGTGGCGGATTCCTGACAGTCGCATACATTTAACGCAGGGGGCTCTACAACATCCAGACCCCCAATGGCTCCAGTTGGCCACCTGGCACTTGAACGCTGCACCTTGACTCAGGAGTCATACTCGTCAGCACTGATTGATATGGTTCAGGCTGCCAGGAGACCAGCGACTAACTGCATTTATGATCACACTTGGCGGAATTTCTGTCACTCGTGCGATAAGAACCACTTGAGTCTCTCCAAAGTGAGCATCCCAAAGGTCTTAGACTACTTTTGGAGGGCATCAATAAGGGGTTTTCACCCAACACCATTTGAAGGCAAGTAGCAGCTCTTTCCACGGTGCTCTCCTGGGACAGATCAGAATTCTTATCTCAGCACCTCATGGTGTGCTCCTTTCTCAAAGGAGTCACGAAAAGCAGGCCACCAGTGGTCCACAGGTCTCCTGGGAGCTACCCCGGGTTCTGCAGGCCCTAACTACCTCACCCTTTGAACCCATTAGAACCTGTTCTTTGTGATCCTTGTCACTCAAGGTCGCTTTCCTATTTGCCATTACCTCTGCCAGACACATCTCGTAGCTGGCCGCTTTGTCTATCAGGAAAGATCTGTGCACATTTCACGAGGATAGGATGGTTCTCAGGTTAGATCTTTCCTTTCTCCCTAAGATAAACACAGTGTTTCATAGGGCACAGAAGATTATTCTCCCAAACTTTTGCCCCCGTTCGCCACATGACCTGGAACGGCAATGGCACACATTGGACGTACTCAGGGCCTTGCGCTGTTACATCAAGCGCACGGCAGCCTTTCGTAAATCAGAAGCCCTGTTTGTCTCATTTCAACCTTCTTCCATGGGGCAGAAGGTATCCGCCTCTACCATAGGCAGGTGGATCAGGGCGTGCATAGCAGGGGCGTATGTGTCACTTTCCCTGCCAGTTCCAAGTCATGTGACGGCACATTCCACTCACAGTGCTGCCACATCTGTGGCGTGGGCAACACAAGCATCTATAGAGGATATTTGTAGGCCGGCGACATGGCTTTGTCTTTGTCTTCCCCTTTTATTAGGCATTACCGACTGGACAAATTTGCATCTGCTGAGGCTTCCTTTGGTCGGCAAATACCGCAGCAGGTAGTGCCAGGACCAGGGACACAGGTCCCAACTGACTCCCTCCCATAGGGACAGTGGGGGCTTTGGTAAGTCCCATTGGTGGATTCTTCATCCATCATGCTGGAGAAGGAGCGTTGGCTTACCTGAACGCCTCTTCTCAGCATGATGATGAATAATCCACGCCCACCCCTCTAGAGGTCAGTTAGGCCACGTGTCAGGGGGTTGCTTCTTTTTACTTCTCTTGGGAGTCATCACCTCGGACTATCATCAGTGGCTCTGCTGTTGTTGAAATAGGATGGGCATGACAACTTTGACAACTTAGTCTGATTGGGCAGGAGGACTGAAATAACCCATTGGTGGATTCTTCATCATCATGCTGAGAAGAGGCGTTCAGGTAAGCCAACGCTCCTTCTGCTCACCAAATGGTTCACAATTCTCATTAATTCTCGAGTCCTTAAATGGCTCAACTTCTTTTTCTATACTTATCTAATTCCCATCCATCCATTCATCCTCCATCTATCCATCCATCAATCAATGTCACCTAAAGAGTATTTTCCTTCTCATCATATTCAAGAAGCTGTGTAGTTTTCTAAAAAAAACCAAAACACTTTTTGTTTCTGGTTCTTCCATCACCATTCACTGGAGTATAATACTCAATTGTCCCCAAGCAATGGATTCCTACTCTCATAAATACAGTACTGTACCTACAGGAGTTTAGTTGACACCAGTGTATACTTTTTGGCACACATTACATGTATTCATCAACTCCGTTCTCATTCACATCTTCATTTGCTTCTACTACATACTTCATCTTTCTTTTATTTTCACCGAGACTCCTTCCCTCCCTTTCTTCCTCTCCCCCTTGGAATTTAAACATTGTACTTGGACTGCTTGTTGGAGTTTAAAAATTAGGGCTGGATACTGTTAATGTCTCCCCCTTGCTACCCAGACTAAAGGCTAAAGCCTAGTTTACAAACAGTTATAACCATAATTGGATTTCCTGATTTATAACTTTCCTGATTTATTTTCTGTTGAAACTATTTAGGTTGTGAAAGTTGGTGGATGAGTATGTCCATGAAACAAACAAGATGGCTACAATGTTGATTCTAGTAAAGTCAGTACCATTGTATATTGGATATCCTTCAAAATAAATAATATTTATTGTAGGCAAAAAAGAGGTTTCTCATCAACTAAAGATCAGGTTAGGGACTGTACACATAACTTCAAAGCCTACATTGGGTCATAAAGTTGTAATAGTTCAGTTATTATGGCTCTGTTTGGTAAAACAAAACGAGCAAACAGGTCAATAATAGGTTGTCAGCCTACAGTCCATCGACTGCCTGTGGCCTCAGCCGCAAAGGGCATGAGAACTCTTTGAAAGTTTTGCCCATTTTTTCTGTCAGCCAGTTTGTTTCCCAGGATATTTATAGCATCCAGTTGGCTGCAGGTACTAGATCAGAGATCTCCAACTTTTTGGGCTCCAGAGACCGGTTCCATGGAGAAAAGTTTTTCCATGGACCAGAGAGTGCGTGGTTTTGTGTGCTGCTTGCATCCCATGGATGGGGCTTTGCTTGTTTGTGCGGATTGGTTGCTGGCATGCAAAAATACATAGTATTTTTAAAGTATTCCTATAAAAATACAATAGAAATAAGTTAATATCTGCAATACCTCAACAAAACTGCAAATATTTAAAAACATAAATGGTTTTTGGAAGAAACAGAAAAAAACCTCCGCTTTTTAAAAGACTGGAATAAAATAAATTACAGAAAATAATGATTGTTTTTGTTAATATGAAGACATTGATAGAAAAAAATTACCTCTTTGTAAATTTATTTTATATGATAACCCATAGACCAAGCTCAACATTTGGAATTATATTTGCTATTTTTAGTTTAAAATAATTTTATGGGGCATAAAAACAATATTTTGCTATATGACTATATGTTTATTATTTTTTTAAAGAAAAATGTAGTTTAAGGCTGTAACTATTACTTTAAAGACACTTTACATCATTGATTGGAGAGAAAGTAAGTACCAGTATACCAGTTCATTTCCACCTCCATTTCATAAGTAGAAAAATAAATTGGGGGTTGACTTTGAAGAAGCCAGCTTTCACCTGTTTCCTTTTTGTTGCGTTTGAAGTTTCTCATTTTTGTTGCATGCCTGATTTTTATAAGTTTTCAATTTATATGGTTTCCCCCTACAAATTGCTATGTAAAAAACAGTTTTTAAAGCAATATTTATTTAGACAAGCATCTACCAACATTTACCAATCGTCATTCTGGTATTTCTGATACCAACTATCTTTGTTTTATGCTCTGTTTCTGGTATATTATTTTACTTTAATGAATTATTTCTATTTGCTGGTTTATTATTGTTAACTTCCATGAAGTAGAAAAGCAGACTTGAAATAAAATATTTTCCGAAGAAAAGTAATTTATAATATTAAAATTCTTCAAAGAACTTAAAATAATTAGTATTTGAACTGATGTAAATTCAAAGGAACTGTGCTTACTACACCTTAACCTCCATCTTTTTTATTATTTATTTATAGACTGGCCTTATTGTTGCCTGTTACCAAGGATACGTGGATATTGTAATAGCCTTAGCACAGTGTCCTCATATTGATGTAAACTGGCAGGACAACGAAGGGAATACAGCTCTAATTACAGCTGCTCAGGCAGGTAAGGATATTTGCTACTCATTTAATTTTTATGTTCAGTAGTGCACCTTTATAATTATGGTCCTTGTGATGACCAATGAATATCGGGATTTGTATTCCTTGCAGACAGCTGGTCATTTGCATTCTTTTAGAGCAGGGATGTCCAACTGGAGCCCACGGGCTGGATGCGTCACCTGCAGGCCATGCCCACCCCGGCTCCACAAAGGCAAAAAATGTGATACATCACATGACACAATCGATTTTGATACCTGTGATTTAGAGAAAAGGTCCCCAATCTATGGTCCATGCACACGCTTACCCCACTTATGCCAGTGCTAATCGAGCTGCAAGCCATGCATTGGCGCTAGTAGCCCCATTTGCAGAGCACACATGCTCACAGCCCCAGTAGTATGCATGCGTACGCAGCCAAATTTGCATGTGTGTGCATGCACGCATAAAGGTACCTGCCCCTCCCTTTCTCACTGGGCCGCCAATCCAGAAAGAGTGGAGACTCCTGCTTTAGAGATGCCACCTGGAGGTTTATCTGTGTCGTCAGGGTCACTTGAGTAGTGCAAATTTCCACATCCATTTGCAACACACTTATGAAAAATGGTCATAAGTCACTTTTTCAGTGCCGTTGTAACTTTGAACAGTCACTAAGCTTGGCTCTTCACCAGGCTCTCTGCCAGAGCCTCCTCCCCTCATTGGGCAATGGTGCGGAGCTGCTTGTGCGTCCTTGGCAGTGCCTCCCCCCTTCAGTCTCCTTCCTTCTCCATCTCCTTCCTTTCCCCTTCAATCTTCCTTCCTTCCATCTCCATCTCCATCCCTTCCCCTTCAATCTCTCTCCTTCCTTCCTCCCTCCCTTCCTTCCTTCCTTCCTTCCTTCCTTCTTTCCCCCTTCAATCTCCCTCCTTCTCCATCTCCTTCCTTTCCCCTTCAATCTTCCTTCCTTCTTTTCATCTCCATCCCTTCCCCTTCAATCTCTCTCCTTCCTTCCTTCCTTCCTTCCTTCCTTCCTTCCTTCCTTCCTTCCTTCCTTCCTTCCCCCTTCAATCTCCTTCCTTCTCCAATCTCCATCCCTTCCCCTTCAATCTCTCTCCATCCTTCCTTCCTTCCTTCCCTCCTTCTATCTTCCTTCCTTCCTTCCATCTCCTTCCTTTCCTTCCTTCCTTCCTTCCCCCTTCAATCTTCCTTCTCTTCCTTTCTTTCCCCTTCATCTCCATCTCAATCTCCATCCCTTCTTCAATCTCTCTCCATCCTTCCTTCCTTCCTTTCCTTCCTTCCCTTCAATCTCCTTCCTTCTCCATCTCCTTCCTTTCCCCTTCTTTCCTTCCCCCTTCAATCTCCTTCCTTCCTTCCTTCCCCTTCCCTCCCTCCCAATATTTTTGAGCAAGGAATAATAAGCTTCTCCATCAAGCATTGCGATATTGTTTTTGTGATTAATCACTATGCTATATTTTTGTGATTAATCAAGCATTGCTATATTGTTTTTGTGATTAATCACTATGCTTTAATTATGTTCAATTCGTAACAATGAAAATACACCCTGCATATCAGATATTTACATTACGATTCATAACAGTAGCAAAATTACAGTTATGAAATAGCAACAAAAATAATTTTATGGTTGAGGGTCACCACAACATGAGGAACTATATTAAAGGGTCGCGGCATTAGAAAGATTGAGAACCACTGTTCTAGTCATTCCCACCATAAATTTCAGATAACTCAAGTTAGGGAAGGCACACGTTTTAAACATACCATGTGGTTGCATAGAGAGAGAAAAAGAATCACTATCTTATTTTCCCTTTTAAGTACCTTTATTTTGCCAAATTGGTTTCCCTAGCAAAGCCCTAAGCAAAGCTCATTCTCACAAATTTGTCTTGCTTACTTTTTTCTTTTTCTTGCCATCCAGGAGAGGCACTTAGCCTCTCGTCTCATACCTCGAGCACATCTTCAATAAGTGTCCTAATTCCAATCCTCGAACTGCAGCTACCCATGTTCCCCTTCCAATGTGGGGTCCAAATTGGCTCAGTCGGGTTTTTTCTCCTTATAGCAGCACTTCCCAGCCGCTCTTAGCGCCAACAGACCTGCCGCCCCGCCTCAATTTTTGGGCACTAAAAAATTGCCCAGGAAGGACTCCGTTCCCTACATGGAGTAAGTGGCCCTTCCAGTTTAGGGACCCCCATGGCTTTAGAGACCTGAAAAATACATTGTCTGAGGAGGACCTGCCACACAGGTACCCAGCCTCCATTTACACAGTGCCTATCAGTTTTCAGACTTAGAAGAAGTCTGTGAGGACCTGTGCTTTGTGCACTTGAGTACAGACCCCTCATATAGGTGGGCTTTCCTTACAGGGCCTTACCAGCTAGTTGCCCAAATCTAATTCTCTCATTCAATCATACCATTCCATTTTCACACAGCCTCTCCCTTTTCCTTAACAAAAGGTCCTACATCTGACCAAACCCCCATGCTTTCCAGGTTCTGTCAATTAAACAGATCCTTTCTGTTGCTAGGAAAGACCAGAAGGAGCAAAATCCAACTGTGATTGGGAAAAAAGGTTCTTCTCACTCACACACACAGACATACACACATTTCCTTTGTTCCCCTGGCTTTAAACTTAAAATTTAGAGGTACTCAACCTTCACCTTCTTTCCAAACCAGCCCTTAAGCTCAAACTCTCAAAATTCCCTTTACTACCCTGGCTCCACATAGGAAAGGCCTGGGAAACCCATCTACAGATACAAGAGGGTCTGCTGCCGGCAAGATGGGGCTTACCAGTCTCAGTCCATTGGAGAGGTTAGCTTGGAGTCCCATCTCTGGGGTGCCAAATTGTCAGAAGTAAAGTCTTCATCCTGGTTCATCCAAGCCGGGAATAAATAAGCACATGGCGACTGCTTTAGGAAGATGGTTACAGTTTATTGAAGAAGCAGAAAGATGGTTCTTCAGGAAAGAGCAGAGGAGAGAAGAGCTGAGCACATGGGCAGTAGGTTTTTATACCCTATCTAGCCTTTTGTTTGGAAGTTTCCTGTTCCTGTGGCATGAACTTTGAGGCTATTTCCTGTGTCATGTATTCTGACCTGAGCCTAGGTGTGTCTCTCTGGTATACTTGATGGTAATGGGTTAGTCCTATTATGTCCCAAAAGTCATATCCTCCTTCCCTGGGGCTGGGCTAATGACTCCTAGAGTTTGGGTGGGGTATGCAGATTTTAAGTCTCTTTGTCTTCTTGAGTTCCTTGTCTCCAGCCTTCCTGATGGTTTTACATCTGCATTTGTATAGGGCTGCCTCCTGCTTGGGGACAGAGAGATTTGAGGGCAGGTTTCTGCTTTTCAAAAAATGCTTTTAAAAATCTTTTTGGAGAAAAATATATTTTCCTGCCCTTTTAATATTTTCTTCTCTGGGGCTAACTTCCCTCAATTCCCCCCTTTGTGCTTTAAGTGTGTGAATGTATGACACACTTATTGGCACAAGATTAAAATTGATTTGGTCAGGGGGACTTGGTAAACAAACTTTAAACTATTAAACAACAACAGAAAAAAAAAATAAGACACTAATGGAGGCAGAAGAAAAAGATCCCTTCAGTGGCTCCTAAAAGGGGAACTTGCAACCCATAAAGTTCTAAAAGTGAAGGCAAAAATTGTTAGGTGTAAATTTATAGTGTCCAATATTCTGTACCAATCATTTTTAAATGTTGGATGTCACTTTTAGCTTCCAGTCAGGTATGCACATTCCTTTGAAAATTCTTCACAGCCATCGTTTGCCTTAGTACATAACCACTGGCTGCCCATTTTCAAGGGTTGTGTCCTGCCTTAGTTTAGTTCAGTGCATCCAGGTTAGTAATGTCCAATTAAGTTTAGCCAGTATGCCAGGCTATTAAATTTTTCTTAAATTGCACATAGTGAGCTCTAGGAATCCCAATCTGAGCCCAACAGTGCAAGACATTCAGGGCTGAGGTTTGGGGATCTGTTTCCTGTTGCTTCCTTAGTCAGGGCATAAGAATTGCAAATCACCTGGGGGGCTGTTTCCTTCCCCCTTGGAATTTGCTGGCATTTTTTCCTACAAAACCTTGGTGCAATAGAGCAAAAATCAGCCTGGGAAACTTTACTAAAGGTAGGCGGAGGGAATAGACTCTGAATGGTGTGACTGGTGTTTGTGTGCATGTATATGCAGCTACTTTACAAAACAGGTAATACAAACATTCTGGATAAATTATTCCTCCCACCAGACAGCAGTCCAAGGTGTTCAGTACTTGCTGTGCCAACTATTCCCAAATGCCATCTCTCCATTAATACATTCAACTGGCTTGTTTCAATACAAATGTGGCAAGAAAGAAAAGTTTTACAATGACTTTCCACCCTCCCTCCATAGTCTATTTTTTTCTTCCTGAGGCTTCACATGGTACCAGTGGCTCCTGGGCTCCTTCCTTCTGCAGCTCTCAAAGGCATCTGGGGGAATGGTAGGACTTGGGAAGATGTTCCACTCAGATTGCATGGTGGCTTTTTAGTGGATGGCTTGATTCAAAACCTAATTCCATGGCTCAAATGGATGGAGGCAGCATCTGGACCTGTGTGTTCTGCTTCCAAAGGTTTGGGGGAGGATTGTCATCTATGGAAGGCTGAAAGATACAACAACAAGGTCTCCCCTCCTTTCTGGGTGGACTCTCCCAGGAGAGGCAGACAAAAGGTATGGAGAACAAAGGGAAAGAAAAGAATTGGAAGGAGGGTAGCTTTCAGGCAGTTTGAAAAGGCATCAATATCGCAGTGGTCAAAGAAACAGGCAGACAAATGAGGACATCCCAGATGATAAAACAAAGGCTGTATTCTGGTAAGAGAACATATCTGTAATGTTTCACTTTTGAACTTGAACATTTGCAGCTGGGCAGCTTGAGAATGCTGAAAGCTCCAAATAATTTTAAAAGCCTAATATTTTAAGGTATGCAATTTTCCAGAGGCAGGAGAACATTTACTCTAAAATAGACTACATAGTTTTAGAGATTGAGAAATGCTTATATGTTTCACGAA